GCCAGGCAGAAGTGCTACCCATTTAGCCACTGTGCTGCCCATTTTGAGTTATCATTTAGTGTTTACCTTAAAGAGTAAGTTTTAAACAGTTTTTTTTTACCAGATTTCTATGTTTGATATTTCATATTTTTGTTATTAGCCAACAGAGATCAAATAAATTTTCTACTACAATGAGTTGCCTGACTACAACAGCTGTTGAGGTCAAATATCAGACACACAGGGAATGCACTGTTTTTACTGGGTTGGCTTACTCATAGACATGGACTGCAAGAATCAGCAGCTATATGCTCACTTTACAATGATTGCTCACTTAGCGTAGCGAATAAAGTGAAGCTGTATTTATTTTTAATACTAAATTATGTAAACAGTGTTTTTTTTTTTGTACACGTTTGGAGGATTAAATACAAATGTATTCACTTCACTTATTTCTCCCTCTGCTCTCTGTTCTTGGGACACATATTTTCCAGACTTCACAAGCCCTGACGATCATCATTCTTCTGTCCAATGAGACTGCCTTAGTGACTAGTAAGGGCATTCTTGCTGGATAGGGAGATACCACTTAGGTGTAGCATAACCATTAAGTCAAAGAAATTCATGTCTCAGTACAGAGTAAAACTATATTACAGAAAAGTTTTTCTTCTTTGACTTCAGTTGGGCTTAAGTGAAGTCATATTATTATTATTATTATTATACAGTATTTATAAAGCGCCAATAGTTCGCTCAGCGCTGTACATTACAAAGGGAGACAGAACATGTGACAGAACAATACCAATACAATGCAAAACATGAGGGGATCAAGGGCCCTGCTCTTTCGAGCTTACAATCTAGGAGGGAGGGGGTGGTGGCACAGGAGGAGATAGCTGTGGGGGATGGAGTGGTAGGAAGAGTGGAGGAGGTCGGCAAGTTAGCAGGGGGGGGTAGGCTTCCCTGAAGAGATGGGTTTTCAGGGTGCGCCTAAAGGAGAGGACAGTAGGTGATAATCTGATGGGGTTGGGGCAGGGTAGCCAGAGGATGGGTGACACCCTGGAGAAGTCCTGGAGGCGGGCATGGGAGGAGGAGACCAGGGAACTAGAGAGAAGGATATACATAAATATATACATAAATATTCAATAAGACATGTTTATACTAAATATATTTTCACTTCATTTTGCTTCTACCTTTCTGTTAAATCAATTACTCAGTATATACTCTATAAATGATTGTGCAGTCCATATATGATTGTGCTGTCCACTGCATTCTAACTGACCTGGCCACACACCATCTCTCTTTTTCCACAGTACAAGTATGTGTGAAAATGCCTGAGATGAAGGGTGTGACCCTTGCTGATCTATGCCAGTCTAAAGCACTGGAGTGAACAGATAGGCCCAAGTCAGGTGGACCTGATCGGAAGGCCAATGTACTTCAATATGCTACTACTGGGTCCGATCTAGTATGCTAACAAAAAACAGAAGGGGATCTTTCCACTTCCATTTAGGCGGATTGGACTGGAGGGTAGTCAGATGTAAATAGACAGCAGAGTCCATTTTTACTCCTAGCCATCCATAGGGCAGAGCGGGCTATGCCCATGTCCTCTCTGTAGAAACCGAGAGGACAAAGAAGTGTCATCCACCTGCTTAGTGGTGTATTTAGGTTTTGTGCTGCCCTAAGCTACACAGAAATTGGACACCCCCCTCCATGGCGGAGAGAGCCTGATACTGACCAACACCAGACCCCCCCCCACCTGACAGTGACCAACAACACCCCTGCCCCATTCCCACCCCCACCCGAGAGAGCCTTCCACTGACACCCCACAGCTCCACAGCTCTGAACATCCCTGGGAATGACAGTCAGGCTCTGCATACACCATCAAGCAGCCCCTCTTGGATCCCACCTGGTGCCTATGCCGCATATGTCCCTTCTTCTGGGGGGCAGTGCTGCCCCCCTAAAAAATGCCTTGTTGCAAATGCCTTGTTTGCCTTGTGGTAAATACGCCCCTGCACCCGCTCTGCTCTGATCAGCAGGGAATCTGTAAGAAGATCCACTGCTGATCAGAACAGATTCCAACCCTTGTGAAAGGGGCCAAAAAGGTATTTGAAGGCAAGGTCAAGTGAAAAACAGTTAAAGCTGAACTCCAGTCTTACATTCCAACTTGCACACCCTCCTTTCATGTAATGACTTTGTTTACTCTGAGCCTCTAACAGTAAGTATTAGGAGCTACGTCAAGTCAGAGAGAGCCCACCTCACTTCCTGGTTAGAGGATGCTCAGTATCAAATAGCCCTTTCCTCCACTACCTAATTGTCCCAGCCCAACCCTTTTATTTACTCAGTTTTAGTTATTTCAATCATGGAAGTCAGAATCCCATGCTGGGGTGGTCTGCATGCAAATTCAGCCTGCTTAAGCATTCCCACTGTTTCAGAGTAATATCCACCCTTCAAGGCATTTTAAAATGTATATTACATATCTTAAGAGTCAGTCCCCTTCTTGCACCAGGACCAAGGGCTCTTTAGAAAGTATTGTGGAAGGGTGCTGTGATGTTTACAGGAAGCTATGTACATCACCCTGCCTTTTTCTCCCATCAACCTTCGTCTGCCTGCATTGCATAGAAAAGCATTGAAACCCAGTGATGTCACTAGGTCTTAAATTAGGTATGTAATGAAAACAGAAAGGCTTTATTTAGAAGAGGTCATTATTATATTGATGAGGGGGAAAGGAAGGGCCAGGCAAAATATAAGAAGATTAAACTTCAACTCCGAAGATCTTAAGACACAGGGAAAGAGGTCTCAAAAGAAAAAAACGACACAAGATTTACAGTAAATTGGCCTTTAATAGTAGACATTTTGTGGTGTCTCTCTTTAGGCAAGGCTTTCTCTTCTAAATGTTTACATTGAAGTACAGCGTAAAGTATACTCATAATGACTTTTGGAAATATGAGTATAAGGTAACGTCAATGAAGTAATAACAATGAAGTAATATAGGGCAAGAGAGAACACTAGAAAATGTTTATTGTTGGTAAATGAGAAATAGAATATCTATTTTTGTCTCACTGTCGTTTATATGTAAAATATGACGTAAATCATCTTGTGTTTTCTTTGTTCTTTAAGACACAATTCTACTACACAAACTCAAACTAGAAATACAAGTTGATGATAAACTGTCACTTGTACTTAAACAGAGTATAGGCAGAACAGAATTGACAGTGACTGAGGAATTCATAAGTGAAAAATGTGCCTTCTCAGAAAAAAATGCCATTCACACATATAGTTCTGGTTGGCAAGCTATGGTTTTCAGCTCTGTACGTTAGCATTATTCAAAAATTAATACGCACGTTCAATTAAATTAAAACAATAAAAACTCTGCCGTTTCGATTGTGAGTGCCTCTATGTTAGTTTTGGATTTGTATGGATTTCCTTGTGGGTGAGTACCTGGGCATTTACTTCAAACATAGAGTATCGTGACTACCCTTGGGACTGTTTAGTGCTTTGCATGTCATTGTTTGTGGGTATTAATTCTTGAATAGTAAAGTGTCTTCAAATGCCCTTCAGCCCATTCCTCCCCTGAATTACAGGGACTTGGTTTTGCATGCCATATATTGTGATATGCTTTGTGTTCTTTATGTTCTATGATCATTATTACATGTGTTGCCAAGGATATATAAACAAAGGTAAGTTAATATTGCCACAGCTGTGTAGATCAGAAAGAGGAACACCCATTAGCACCAACTGTGTAGGATTACACACTCCCTACCATGTCCCCAGTTATATGACCTGTGAAGAATTAATGTGCAAAAAAATGATTGACTAAACCCAAAAGTACTTTTTTCATCACAGTGTTTCCTTTGACTTTTTAACCACTTGCCTACTGGGCACTTATACCCCCTTCCTGCCCAGGCCAATTTTCAGCTTTCAGCGCTGTCACACTTTGAATGATAATTGCGTGGTCATGCAACACTGTACCCATATGAAATTTTTATCATTTTTTTGAGACAGATATAGCTTTCTTTTGGTGGTATTTAATCACCTCTGGGTTTTTTATTTTTGTGCTAAACAAACCAAAAATAACTGAAAATTTTGAAAAAAAAAAGTTTTTTCTTGGTTTTTGTTATAAAATTTTGTAAATAAGTGATTTTTCTCCTTCACTGATGTGTGCTAATGAGGCCGCAGTGATGGGCACTGATAGGCTGCTCTGATAGGTGGCACTGATGGGCACTGATGAGGAGGCACTGGTAGGTGGCACTGATGGACATTGACAGGCATCACTGATGGGCACTGAAAGGCAGCACTCATATATGGCACTGATAGGCGGCACTGATAGGTGTGACAGCTTGTGAGTGATAACCGGCATTTACCTATTTACATGCGATCAGCTGTGATTGGACACAGCTGATCACATGACCTAGCCGACATCTTCGGCTCTTTCCATTGATCAGTGATCCGATGTGTCCCTCGGCACCACTGATCGCTGCACTGCACGGAGCAGGGCATGCACAGTTAGAGTGGGAGGACATCATATGACTTCCTTCCAGAACGAGAGAACCGCCTTGCGCCTGTCACTGCCTTATATGGCGGGCGGGAGGCGGTTAAACAATGATGTGATAATAAAAAGGGTTTGTGTGTGTGAAAGGTTTAGTGTAATGTAACATTTTTAGTAGTTAAGTATAGTAGTTATTAAAAGGCCCACACATCCATCTAAAAAGAGGGACAATGGAGAAGGAAAAGAAGGGGGAGAGGGATTTGGTTCCAAAAGAGAGACAGTCCCTTCAAATGAGGGATAGTTAAGAGGTATAGTGATGAGTAATGTACTGTAAAATGTTCACGTAGCAAGGGAAATTCTCTTTCTCTTTTTCAAAAATGAAAAACAAAACAAAACAAAACCTGATTGAGTGCTGGAAGTTAGTACAGCTTCACCTCATTCAATGAGCTAAGGACAAATTCCTCTGCAAAATGAATGACCTATTATTTATACTAAATCAACCCCATAGAATCAATCTGTATAGCATTGTGACTTTATACGCACTACTAACCTTTAGATGACCGGAAATGTTTGCTAGGTGCTGTAAAGCCTCGTGTTCCATGGACATTCACAGCAGCCACTCGAAACTGGTACCACCTGCTCGGTCTCACATCAGGAAGTTGTATCCTTTCATCTGTAGTCTGATTAAGAAAATTACACACTCTAAGTAGATACAAAAATAGCAAAAAATAATATTATACTTTGCATGTTTGATGATTGTTATCATCGCCTAGCCTGTTACATCTTTTAAATGTCTTAGCAGAGAATTCTCAATACTGGAATAATGGTGTCACACTGCTGGTAAATCTCAGAGGAAAACTCCCGAAAAAGAAGCTCAATACAGCATATGTGTGGTATACAGCTGCTACACTGCACAAACTCCTATGTAAGCAGTTACTAATCACCAGAGCTGCATAGGATAAAAAAATAAACCTTTATGCATGTTTAAAAACACTTATGAGTACAAACAGACATTTAAATAAGACAGGATCTCTGTTAAATCTCTTTTAGAATAAACAGAAAAAAAATGCCAAAGAGAAAAAAGGTACTGAAATGACTGAACCCACCATTATCCATCCAAGTTGATAATATAACTATTTCTTATGAATGTTACCACTGAGGTATTGGTCCATATCCCTTCTTGTCTAGTAAATAACTCTGGTTCTTGATCCACTCAAAACTGTCAGTGTCCAATCTGTTATGAATCCTGCAGCTCAACTGACAAAAAATAACAAAAGTACTCATGGATGGCTCCTCTTTGTCAGACATTGCTTTGGTTTTCTATGCATACACCCATCCGGAACCTTTTCTTCTCTCATATGTGTCTTTCTTCTGATTAATATTTCTGACTCCTGCTCCCAGGACTTCTCTTTTGCGGTCCATCTTTCATATAGAACACCTTTGTGCATGCCATCAGCAATTTACCTATCCTCCAATATTTATCTACTATATTATAAATAAATCCTGGCTTTGATCCTTTTTAGAAAGTCACATAAGTTTGATTTATCACTCCTTTAATTCTATCACCTGATTTTTCTATCACATAAAGTATAGGTTAACCTTTGGGAACATAATACATGTTCCACCCAATTTTAGGGTGGAACATGTAACACATGCCCACTCCTGCAGCTGCTCCCCGATCCATTCTCTGTGAGAGCAGGCGGGGGATCTTCTCCCCGTACCTGCTGTCCCTATTTGAAAATGGAGCGGCTGTGCGGGGCTCCACCCGTATGGCAACATCATTCATTTACAGAGTTCTATGAACGAATGAACTACAAGTACTGACATTCTTTGACACTGTCGGCTTGTAGTTCTCAATAGATTCTTCCTGTCTTTGTGAAACTACCTGCCTATACGATGTGCGCTCATACAGCTTACTCTGACAGTCTGTAGGAGTCTTGCACTGCAATGCTTTCCAGGCTCCTACAAAAAAAATGTGCATTTTTTTTTTAAAGTGAATTTATGCTTTAACTATTATCAACAATATGGCTACTCTCTGTGCTTCCTTTTGTATTAAACTATTGTTTTGCATAGGAACCCTATTAATTTTTTGTGTATTTATGCAAATCTTGCTGTGATCTATATAGGCCCTGAGTGTAATACTTTGTACGGTTTTGTGCAATAATAATATTATTATGCTTATAAGGCTGTCCATAATCGTATTGAACTCTCACTGACAACAACTTATAATAGGAGAACTGTTTGCTATAGCTGGACCTGCCACAGTTGTGTTCCTTGATAGGTGATGATGAGTATGGACATGTGCACTGAAGGAGCTGTTTCCTTTTTCATTGGGAAAAAGCAACAATCATTCATCAGTCACAAGAATGTACCCATATGTTGGAGAACCCTCTAGGAAGAATAACATGTACTTCCAAAGCATATTTATGTTCATTATTGTTGTTGTAATTAAATCCCTCCTGGTTCAGTTATGGCAACAGGCTCACTTCTGAAATATTGCTTGCAAATATTTTGTCAGGGGAAGACAGTTTAATCCAAATTATGGCTGGCAAACTGCAGTAGCCTGTAGCAACCAATCAGAAACCATATGCCACTAGTCTGACCACACTTAACAGTCAAAAACCTGACAAGTTGACCTGAGTGAGCCTTTAGTGATGGTCGAATGGTGATGCACATTTGCTATATTTTAACAAAGAACCTTGCTCAATGCTGTACCTCATTTCTATAAGGATCAGCACTGACGTATTAGTTAAACAGCTGCGGTTTGCTTTGTCCAACATCAATAAAACATAAGTTTCCTTTTAAAATTGTTGTAAAAAAATGCATAGGATCATGTATATTTATAACCCATATAACAGGCTCAAATACTCTTTTGTGTAGCTCTATACACATTTAAATTGTTTTCCTTACCACATAATTGATCATTTACTATGTATAAAACTAAGCAGTATTATTGGAATGGCTTCCATTTATTATTTCAGTCTCGCCATCCAAGCATTACTCCTACAAATGTGTTTTATTTGGCCATCTAGGATGGGGCTAGGAATCAATGGATTTATAAGAAAGACTGTGCAAGGACTCCTTAGTTTAATGTATCTGTTTGATTAAGCGAGTAGATTAGAAACCATACCAGGTCATTTCAGTTCCAGTACTGTGGAGTCCTTACAATTCTACATTTGTGCTATTTTTCTTCACTGCCCAGCACATGTTAACTAACATTAACCCTTTGTAAGGAGTGTTTATCAGCTTCAATTATAAACCATAGTACTTATTCTATCTAAAAAAACACCACATATTTATTGATCAGCTGACACGTGGACTGGCCATGGGATACATATGACAGCATAGAGTTGACTGAGATCCCTACTAACATTAATTTACCATGGGTCCAAATTACCTTTTGTAAAAAACTCTAGTTTTAAAGGGCTTATGTCTTAAGCTCAGTAGGTTTTGTTCATTAGTAATGAGTTTTATCAATACTAATTGATATGACTTGCTCCACATGAGTAAATTCAATCATCAGGACAGATGAAACAGTGCTAATTAATGACCTGCCCTGCTGATGGCAGAAAACAACACAGTAGGTAAGCATTAAAGCAAACCTGTAGCATGCCTTTACCAAGCAGAGTAATGCAGGCCATAGACGGGGGAGAAAACCGGCCGGTTTTTTAACAAAAAAATGAAAAATCGGTCGTTCAAAAGGCCGATGCTACCACCAACAGTGAAAAAAAATCGGCTGATTTTCTTCCCGTCTTCGGCCGGCATTTAATTACTTCTGTCTTTCTCTTCTTCTTCTTTCTCTTCTTCTGCTTTCTCTTCTTTCTCTTCTTCTTCTACTTCTTCTTCTTCTTCTTTCTCTTCTTCTTCTTCTTTCTCTTCTTCTTTCTCTTCTGCTTCTTTCTCTTCTTCTTCTTCTTTTTTTTCTCATTCTTTTCTTCTTTTTCTTCTTCTTCTTCTTTTTCTTGCAGGTCACGGCTCATGCGCAGATTTTTTATCAGTAAAAAGATCGGCTGATTTGCTCATCATTGCCGTGAAAATCGGCCGATCTGCAAAATCGGCCGATTTTTTTGCAACTTTACCGATCACAAAAATCTGACAAAATCCAGAAAAATGGCCAACCAATTAACCCATTAATGGTGCGAAAATTGGCAAATTTTGTTTTCGGCCGAAAAATCGGCCGATTTTCAACCCATCTATGTCCTGCATTACACTTCAGATAGCATCTACCCTACACTACAATGCCACACATTTCGATGACTACCATTACCCACCACTGCTGCTTCCTATTAAGAACATGATCTTCCACATACAGGACAAACATACAAGCTACTTTCCCATCTTAAAACACAGTCTTGCTCTGTATCTAAGCAAGCTATCACTAAACCTGAGCGATATCCCATGGTGGAGATGCCAAGCCCTAAGCAGGCATTGACTTTCTTTTTTAAACACAATTTACAGTTTGGTCATATTAGGGATTTTAATTTTTATTATCAAATTATGAGAGCCACAAACAAGCTTCTATTAACCATTCATTCACATTCACGTTTTTATGTATACTGAGCAATACTAGCTATGGCACAATATCATCCAGTCCTATCAGTTGTATGACCACATTTGTATACAGTCCACCAGGAAGTACCTAACAAGGATAGGAATAAGCTGCTATGGTTTGGCCTGTTGTTAATCAATTATATAGAATACAGGGGTAATTCTACGGATAATAGTTTCAAAAATATATGTAAAGGAGTAATAAACACAGATTTAAAAGCCTGAGGGCTTTCAGAATGTTGTTTAAAGCGGTTCTAAAGGCAGAAGGTTTTTTTTTTACCTTAATGCATTCTATTCCTTAAGGTAAAAAAACCTTCAGGGTGCAACTCCCCCTTCAGACCCCTCTTATACTTACCTGACCCCCATCTCGATCCAGTGTTGTGCATGAGAGCCACGGCTTTTCCAAGTCCCTCTCTCTTCATTGGCTCACACAACAGCGGGAGCCATTGGTTCCTGCTGCTGTCAATCACAGCCAGTAAGCCAATGAAGAGAGAGTGAGGGTGGGCCAAACCACGCCCTTTGTGTGAATGGACAATGTCCATTCACAGGATTGCAGCTCAGGCGCGAGCTTGCTCGAGTGCCCCCATAGCAAGAGGCTTACTATTGGGGACACTTGGAAGGGGGAGCCCAATCACATAGAGTTCTTTTGTTATAATAGTATGCTGCCTGGTTTCCACTAATGCAGAAAGTTCATGCAAGCCCACTGATTGGTCAGCTCTGCCTGAATGTTCATTTACCCAAAATTCTCTGGCAGATTACACTTTGACTCTTTCTTTTTCAGTATTTTATTACAGATTTACAGGTAAAACATATAGATTTCAATAAGCTGGCCAGTCAATAAATGTGACAGATTTTGAAGGACTAATACAGCCATGAATCAATAAATCTGCAAGAGAAATCATGTTCAACTCTGGATTCTGAGTATTATGTGTAATCCATTACATATTAAAAGAATAGTAAATATTCTGGATAATATTTCTGTTTAATTCATATTTATTATATGCTTAATGAATTCAAGATAATATGACATTTTGTTCAGAAAGGGATCGTTGTGAAAGCTAACTAGAAAGAAAATTAAGAATAGCCTGAATATACAATAATGGGATAATGAAGAGACGAGAAGGTAATGAAAGAGTAGACAGGTTAATGAGAAACAAAGCTCTGTGAGAATGAAAAAAAAGAGGAAAAAGAGAACCTTTGGGTGACTCAATAAGCTTTTCAGGATAGCATACAGACAGAAATGATGTTTCTGTTATCCTTAGGGTGGGTTGCAGGCACTTAAAAGAATCAATAATGTTCAGGAGAATTTGTGTACAATGTCTTCTTCACAAAATGTGGATGGTTGGAGTGAGCATATGGTCACTTCAGCTAATTTCACACTTTAATATTTGTGGCCTCTATAGGTCCAGTTTACCTTTGGCTTCTTGTGACTTGTCATAAGCGGCAGTTAAATTACTTAACTTAATACTTACCATCCAATTTATTGTAAAAAAGATCACTGGAGACTTTTTTTTCAAGGCCACACAAAGTAGTATATTGACAGTAGGCCAACAACTCCCACTTCATAGACTAGCCATCAACCACAACATTTTCTCCCCTTTCTAGGTTTACCTTGGCACCATTTTAAAATATCTGTAATGTAAAAGCAATTTTCTACTCTGGATTTAAAATGGTTCTGGTAAAGTATTGAGCCAGATGTACCATTTCACATATTAAATATATTAAACATATATCGCTAAATTAACCCCTATACTGTTTTCAGTAGTGATAATAAGCAGAACTTCGCTCTCTCAATTAACACTGACTATTTTTATTAATTATGCAGCTAGCATTTAGTAAATATAAATGGCAGTATACTATATTTATTTGTTCAATATTTTTTTTTACATTTCTTCAGTTGTTTCCTGGCTTCCATGTCTAGGCAAATGATATCATACATTCCAGACATCTCCAGAAGGGAAGGAAGGGAAGAAGGGTTTTCTCAGCTAAAAACACCCTCATACCTGTATGTCTGATCTGAGGACAGATGGATTCTAAGAAGCAAATGCTACAAGAATCATCTGCCCTTACTCAAGATGGCCATGGCCAGAAATGCAAGGGTGTGTTTTTCAAAGTGATTTCTCAGCAAAATAAAACATGGATGGGTGAGTTTGCTTTGCATATTAAACATTAAATAAATAGTGGTTTTGGTTTTTGGCACTCAGATGCAGTTTAATTCCACTTTAATTCACCTATTGATTAGCATCTAAACTAAAATCAAATCAAAACCACAGCAAGCAGTATGGTACCTATATATGTGCACATAAACAATTTATTCTTTAATTTCTGTATATTGTTATTGTTCTACACATCTTGGATCATATGCAATAGCAATATGATATACTGTATTTACCCAAAGGAACTGTTCATTGCCTATACTGCATCCTTGATAAAAGCAGCATTTAATTTGCTGTGCATGTAAAAGCTGATTCAACACATTATTTTACTAAAGGAACAGAGACTGTTCAAAGTGGGTGTTCCTTTTGTGAAGGGTACGTTCACTGAGCTAAGTACATAAGGTGAAGCTGTGTTTACTTTGATGACCAAATAATAAAAGCCAAAGGAAATGAAAAAATATAGGATGTTTCTTGCACCTGATTTGATAACTGAAGGGAACACAACTTTCCTTATTTACTAAACCTATTGAAAACAATGAATACATAAAAGTGTTTGTAAACCCTAACAATAAACTTCTCTTATTTACTGGTCTGTGTTTTGTAATGCATCAGAAATGAAGTAGGCAGGGATGACAACACATATTTTGAAATTCAGAGCCAAAATCCCACTGTGTTGTCAAATCAAAAGAGAAACCTAGGAGTATACTATATTTCTAGCATATGCAGTTATTTTTCTGTACTTGCACTGTTTTATAGGGATAAAATATGGAAAACATGCATGCATTTCAGAGATGCACAAAATATATTTTTGGGCCCAGTTGTAAGCTGAGGGAAGTCGGGCAGGGGGGTGGCCAAGAGGTCCAACCACATAGCAAATTCATCTGGTCCAAAATTTGTATTGTATATACCCAGCTTAAGTCTATGAACCCCAGTGAGTTGCAGCACCAGACTCCTCAGATACCTGATACAAAATGGAGATTCCAGGGAATCAGTTCAGATACTGCATAGCAGCATTACTAAGCAAACATAGCAGGAACCAAAACACAGTTGCTTATTTTAAAGTAACTAGAGTGTATATTTGACATAAGCACTTGTTTTAGCACTGGGCATTTAAGTTGGCCATACGTTAATTCGTTTTTATGTTCAACCGGCGGGTTGAACAAAAAAATAATGCAATTCCCCCATCCACACATTCAGGGTGGATGGAGGAATCACTTCCACTGTCAGAATACAGTGATCAGTGCTGCTCGCTACAGCCAGCGGTACTTGTCATTCGGGAAAAGCCTGACAGGCTGATTGTGCAGAAGTTGATTGCTGTATCGGCAACCAACCTGCCCATACATGGATTCAGATTCAGCCAGTCCTAGCTGAACGGGCTGAATTCCGAGTCATGTATGTCAGCCATTACATCTGTTTTGGGAAAGTCTCAAGATAAGAAAGTACTGAAATAATATAAAAAAATGTCATTGACTTACATGTGCTAAGAATAATACTATTTTATCAACTTCTGCATCCCCAGAACAATGTATTCCAAACATGAGGGCTTTCAATACTTTGAGGTAGATTTATTAAAGGCAATTAAGCTGTTCACTTTGCAAGGAACCAGAGCTTGGTGAATGAGGTGAAACTCTGCTGATGTCCATCACACAAGCCTGTGCAAGCAAATATGCTGTTTTTTGTTATATTCCTTGCATGTGTTAGGGTATTTTTTGCAAAGTGAAATTGTACCACATAACTAAGCTCTGGGGCAAATTTCCTTGTAAAGTACAACTTTCCCTGCAAAGTAAACAGCCTATTTGCCTTTAGTGAATCAACCCCTTTGAGTCACTCTAAGTTATTAACCCAGAACAAGGCTACAGATACTGTATGCAATTCTCCTTCCTTTACGTTGCACTAGTATTAGATAATGGATTACCATCAATCAACTATAGTATATGCTTACTGTTAAAATGTTTATCAGATCCCAAAACTATTTGACATACTCATAAATAACACATACTCTTTAAGAAAACGTAGACAAACCTGTGCAACTGTTTGCCAAGGTGTGGCATCATCCTCACTTGGATGTATCCCATAATTCCATCTTTTCTGCATCACATAGATCACTGGCTCAACAGAAATGTTGAATTTTGAAGACCATTTAATTTCAAGATTTCCCTGTTGGAGTTCACTGAAGCTTAGTTCCTTCCTTGGCTTCAAAGGAACACCTGTAACACAGCATAAAATTAAACTTGTAACCTTCGCGCACTTGGACATGCCTATGTCAAACACAAAGACAGAAAGGTCTCCCTTGGAGGCTATGTGCCTGATATCAATTTGTTTAATAGTTTTTTCCTTCATTTTAACCCATTATAAATAAAAGACATCAAAGCAGATCATCAAACAAAGGCATTTCCCATTGCACAAAAGTCCTTCTCATAATTATTCATTTGATGATTTTTAAATGTTCAACTATGTTTTATGCTGGCAATCTCAACATAAAATTACTTAGTATGAGACTGAATTTGAATGTAATGTCTACTACAGAAAAAAAGGCATTGTTATTTGTGCTGGAGGCAAATAGTAGTAAGATTTCACATTTAAGACTATGTTAACAAAAACTAAATTTTTTTTAGATGTCAGTGGCAGAAGCATGACACTATGTACATATTAATGACCATGGTAGAGCAGAAGAACCTTGCCAATGGTAAAGCAAATGAAAGATAAGGGAAGCAAAATATAAATGCAGCTGATATGTATTTCAACGTTCCAGTATCCATCCAAAAGTAAAATATTGGCTTTGGTTGGACTTGGTCTTTAAAGGGTAAATCCACTTTCTTGCGGAAAAAATATTGTAAATAAAAAAAAAATGATATCGCATTTACAATTGCAACACAAGCCAAAGTATAATACTTATATAAAATTACTAAAAATTTATTTTCAATCTGCAGTGATGTAATTTTCTGTAAAATGCAATGCAATATGGCTACCTGGAGGCGTTCTCTACACAAATTGTGTACATAACGCCTTTAAGAAATGTAATTTCCTGCTTATGTGATTGGCTCACTGATTTTCCCAGAATCAGATTCTGGCAATTCTTGCATCCTCTGCATCAAACATTCCAATTTTGGTGAGATACTCCCAAAGGGTTAATCACTTCTAAAGGGATTCAGACCCTACCCCTTTCTTCATTAGGACCCTGTAAGTGCAGAAGTTGATCACTAATGAAAAAGTTACTCCCATTCACGTTCACCTTGCAGATGGAAAGAGACAAACGGCTATTACTTCAGAATAACAAAAGGTACGAATCTTCATCAAAGTTTGCCAAAATCCCCACAATGTACATACAGTAGATCATCCAGAGGGGAATGCTTACCTGTAGTTAAAATGAATATCACCTAAGCGTGTACTGTTTAGGAGATATTCCAGCGAGCAGCAGCCAGAGACATCACCACTGCATGCAATCTGAAGGAATGGCATACCTGTGCCGTTCCTTCAGAGCTGTGTGTTGTGCCTGGGGCTCCCACGCACATGCGTGACATCATCGTGGCTCGGCCAGTCAGATGGCCAAAGCCCACGCATATGGAAGGAAGACTGGGTGAAGATGGAAGCCCAGTCAGTAGTGACAGAGTGGACTTTGTTTTAGGGTAAGTATTTCACAATGTGTTACTATGCAATGCATACTAGCACATTATGACATTACCTTTCAGGGGGAAACCTTTTTTTTTTCCAAGAGACTTTACTACCGCTTTAAGGTGCAGATGCAATAAGGTACTTTTTTTGCATGACAACATGTGTTGTGTTAATACAGCTCATGGTAATGCTCCAAAAAGTTCAGAAAAACAGACATTCACCATTTTTTGGCATTGGAGCTGCCTTACTTTAGTGCACTGGGGTGCCATTCATTTTCACAGAAATGTGCATGCTATATGCATGGTAATAATGAGGGTCCTGGAAAGGTGTGAATTAAATCTTGTATAAATTTGCCAACATATTGTGGTTACTATACAAAAGGAGTAGAAACTTTTCACTAACCAAAGCTGTTTCTCTTTCAATCATCTAATCATTTGCATGCATTTTTTTTTATTTCCATTAAAAATGTTTGGATATTCAAAGTGAACACAGCTTCTCCTAGTTCAGTCCATGTAAGGGCTGCAGATGTGCATGGGTGGCATCACTTTGTAATTGCCCCCCCGCATATCTGGCACACACACATACATTCACAGTCGTCAAAACACAAGGTACCGCAGAACTACTTTTTGCACGTTCCTGTATGTTGACAGCCCATTGAAATAAATAGGCTGTCCTAAACACATTGCATGGCAACGTGCTGGACTGTGCAGGGTGCAAAAAAAAAAAAAACTCTTTATGGTATGAATGAGCCCTAAGAGTAAGGACTGGTTCATACTAGTGCACTAAGTAAAGCATGCACATTTATCACCTGGGGGGGATTTACTAAAACTGGAGAGTGCAAAATCTGGGGCAGCTGTGCATAGAAACCAATGAGGTTAAAGGTTTTATTGTCAAAGCTTATTTGACCAAGTTGAAGTTATAAGCTGATTGGTTACCATGCGCAGCTGTACTAAATTCTGAGTACTCAAGTTTTAGTAAATCTCCTCCAGAGTATCATGCAATTAACATTGTTGCAATCAGCATCCCATTGGTTTGGAATGGACTACTAATGCACATAAATTAGACGTGCAATGTTTTTTTTTTAATCTAAATTTAATCTGTAAATTCAAAAGTTTCATGTGAATTTCCTTTACTGGTCTTTGGAATTACAATAGCATAGGCTGTCATTATTGACATTTCCTTCTAAAAATGCTAGTATCCTGGAATTAATGCTGAATCTGTGCCTTTAATATGTTCTCACTCACTGACCCAGAAAATGTTTACAGATCAGGTGTTCTGAAGTCAATCTGCCTTTGCATGCTGCATGTTTGACATGGACCAGCAAGTTAAAAAAGAAATAAAGCCTTTGGATCAGAGTGACAGACAAGCAACTAGCATTTTCAGAAAAAAAAAATCAGTAGCTTACATATTACAGTACAAGTTCAGTTTAATAGTAATAACCACTATAATATTTTTGTTTTAAGATTAAGATATCTATCTATTATTATATGAATTAAAAAAAAATATTAATTCTTCCAAAACTAATAATATTTTCTAATATAAATGTTCTTATTGTTTATAGTATAAAATGATAAAGCCATGAGTTTCAAGGTAAACATCTGGTATTTGAGTAAACATTACATATGTTGCACGTAAGTACGCAGCCTTCCAATTTAACTCTATGTGATGAGAATCATGAACTATGTCAGATTGAATTTGTTCACTTTAAACTCCATCCTTAATTATGATGTGCAATAATTCAGCAATTTGCATGCAGAAATGCTCCATCTGCTTTGCATTAAGGTCCATTGGACTCGGTTGATTGAAAATCATTCAGCCTTAGTTTGCTGAGTGTAATTGTCAACATATGGACTCAAAGATCACAAAAAAGTAACAAGTGCAAGTGTGTTTCAGCAGAAACAGGAGTGACCAGCTCAACCAGATGTGCACCATTCATTTTATATTATTCTTTAGTAATTTTGCACCAAATGTATGGCGAGCATAAATAGAAAAACATCATATACTACATTAACTGCAATAAAGGCAGATATTATATAGGCTAAACCCATAAATCAGTTATTGCAGGCAAGAAACAATAGCATTAATGTGACAGTATCAAAAACTGATTTTCATATCAGTTGTTTATCATATAATGGGCTAACTAGCTTTTGAGAGCATGTTCCATTGTTTTTTGTTTTGTTTTTGTAAGTTTGAAGCCTCATAGTGTTTCATTCTTTTGGTACTTATTCAAGCCAGTGAAGAAAATTTTCTTTAGGATGGTTTCTACACTATCTTATGTTTTTTTGTGCTCTCCAGCATTTTTCATTTTTATGGGATTTTCCTTAAATCTTTTATATTGGATATATCAAATCTAAAAAAAAAATCACATATTGGACTTATCAATTGTGGCACTAGTAATTTTAAGGGGCTATAGGGAGCACAAATGTGGAATCATTGATTTTTAAATTGGTTGCAACAGCAGTGATCTCTGGCAGTGTTATGTAACATATATCCATGTCCTCAGTCTCCAACAACTCCTATAGTATAAGGAGTGTTCAAGTCAAACTGGGACTTTCAATTTTACAGTCCAGAGACTGTTAATCAAGAAGCAGACAACAGGTTAGTGTGTGTGTATGGAACAGCATGTGGTGATGAAGTTTCTTGTGAAAGAAGGCATAAAACCCGCAAATGAGTTGCCTTTCTTCTGTATGCATTCCTTTACCATTTGATGGGAGAAGTTTATTGAAGGTGGAGAAGCTACTTATTATTCTGGAAGGGATCTCTATTGACGATCCAACGATCCACTGCTGCATTTGAGGATATACCATACTGCTCATGTTGACCGACCTTTTGTGCGGTCAAACTTTTCAGTGAGAAACCAATTTGTTTGGGTGGATGGTGACGGCTCTTGGATCAAATCTTTCCTCTTATGCACCTACTTCTATCCATTTGGGAATCTATATGGACTTTATCACATTTAAAGTGCTATAAGACCATTGTATAATTAGGGCTGCATTTATTTATCTATATCATAAAACCCGCAAATATCTACAGAAGACTTCAAGCACAGTACGGTCAGCTGCAGTAAGATCTTTGAATGGTATAAACATTTCAAAGATGGCTGTCCAGTGACAATCCCAACCGTGGTGGTTCCCAGCCCACAGCAGTCATTCCTGTGAACATTCAGCATGTGGAACGCCTGATCTTGGATAATCAACACATAACCTGTCATAACATTGCACAAGAAACTAATCTTTCTGTAGTAACGGTGAACACAATGATGACAAAGCGAAGCAGGCTGTCCTAGGATGGTTCAGGCGTACTGACAAATCTTTCTATGCCGAAGCTTTCCAGTCATCAGTTAAATGCTGGGATAAGTGTATAAATGTAGCAGTGGAGTATGTCGAAAAATAAATGCAGTTCCCAATTCTTTGAAACTTGTTCTTTTATTATATAAACTCAATAGTCCCAGTTTGACTTGAACGCCCCTCATATATCCCCAGTCCATAACCATCCCCTGTAGCAAGTGTGGTCATGTATGTTCTCTGACCATCTGCTATATCATATCCACAATCTCTAACCATCTCTCGCAACACGCCTGTAGTCCCTGATCATC